GTTAATCATTAAGTTTTTTTTAAATAGTATTTTCTTTTTTTTTTTTTTTCTCTTTTTTTTTCTTTTTTTTTTTGCAGTTTTTGGCTGGGGCTGGGTTTGAACCCACCGCCTCTGGCATATGGGGCTGGCGCTCTACTCCTTTGAGCCACAGGTGCCGCCCCATTAAATTTTGAGATGTTCAAAAATCAAGAAACAAAATCCTCACAGGTAGAAGCAAATGAAACCTTTCCAGCAACACCACTAAGCCACACATGTTGAAATCTACACAGATGACTCAGAAAGGACGCTGTCAGCTGTGTTTCTTAGAAGTGGAATAATGGACCATAACACAGTCTGTCTCAAAACTTTAGCAGTGACCCACGTACAACTCATTATAAGGCAGAATCTGTGGGATCCCTGGGTTTGTTTTCCTGCAACTAGATGGTCCCATCCTGTGTTTCCAGCTGCTCTCAGCTCCGCCTCAGATCATCAGGCATTAGATTCTTAGAAGTAACGTGCAGCCTGGGTTCATTGTATGTGCTGTTGACAGTAGGGTTCACGCTCCTGTGGGAATCTAACATGACCACTGATCTAATAGGAGGTGAGGCTCAGATGGAGATGTGAGTGTTGGGGAGAGGCTGTAAACACAGATGAAGCTGCTCACCTCCTGCTGTGCGGCCCAGTTCCTAACAGGCCATGGACTGGTACCGCAGCCTGGGGAGGGCTTGGGGACCAAAGTCTTGGGTAGTTGAAGATCATAAACATGTGTCAATGATACTTAGAATCTATACAGGTGCTACACTTGTGAGGTCTATTTAGCCTTGCTACTCTGCAAACATTAATTTTAATAAAGCTTAATGTTAGAGGTGACATTTACTCTATTTTATGGAAATGTAGGAGCTGTAGTCTTTCAGATTTACACTGCATTTGAGTATACTTTTAATCTTTTATTTATTATTTTTTTGGAGACAGAGTCTCACTTTTTCACCCTGGGTAGAGTGCCATGGTATCATAGCTCATAGTAACCTCAAACTCTTGGGCTCAAATGATTCTCTTACCTCAGCCTCTTGAGTTGATGGATTACAGGCACCCACCACATGCCTGGCTAGTTTTTTAAGATGGGGGTCTCGCTCTTGCTCAGGCTGGTCTTGAACAGCGGAGCTCAAGCTATCCACTCTCCTTGGCCTCCCAGAGCACTAGGTGAGCCACCATGCCTGGCCTTATACTTCTTATGTTAAAGAAATATCAAATTGATATCTGACTTAAATTCATTTTTCTTTCTTTTTTTTTTTATTATTTATTTTTTTCTAAAGCCCAGTAACTTTTTGTTGCAGTTGTTATTGTTGTTTTACTGGTCCAGGCTGCATTTGAACTTGCAACCTTCACTGTATGTGGCTGGCACCTTATACTATGCTATAGACGCCAAGCCTTAAATTCATTTTTACATAGAGATTTTGTTGTATTTTCTTTTTAAAGTTAGAACACACTAAAAGTTAAGAGTAATTTATCTTTTTTTGTCTTTTGGGGTGGGGAAACAGCTCCTCCTCTGTCACTCTGACTAGAGTACAGTGGCATCATCATAGCTCACTGCAGCCTCAAGCTCCTGAGTTCAAGCAATCCTCCTGCCTCAGCCTCCTGCGTAACTGGGACTACAGACGCCTACAACACCCAGCTCACTTTTCTATTTTTTGTAAAAACAGGATCTTGCTCTTGCTGATCTCAAACTCCTGACCTCAAGGGATCCTCCTGCCTTGGCCTCCCAGAGTAGTAGGATTACAGATGTGAGCCACTGCGCCCAGCCTAGAGTAGTTTATCTTAATTACTCTTAGTATTCCTTTAAAGATAGTACTATAGAATGCTCTTTGCCAAATGATGTAAAACTGCAGAGTTGAATTCACCCTGGAAAAATAGATCAAACAGGGTTTATATCCATATGAAGATGTATAAGGGAGTAGTTAAGAGTGCAGCTTAGAAGTCCCAACTTTGCTATTACTTTGTGACATTGAATACATAGTACGTTATTTAACTTTTCAGAATTTTATTGCTTCATTTATAAATAGGGCTAATAATAGAATCTAACTTAAGGTCATTGTGAAGATTAAATGAAATAAAGTTGTAAGCACAGTGCCTGGTATATAAAAAATATCTAAAAATTAATAATGTATTATTTGTTTTTTCTTTCTTTCTTCTTCTTTCTTTTTTTTTTAGAGGCAGAATATTACTTTGTCGCCCATAGCAACTGCCGGCTCTTGGGCTTAGGCGATTCTCTTGCCCCAGCCTCCCAAGTAGCTGGGACTACAGGCGCCCGCCACAACGCCCAGCTACTTTTTTGTTGCAGTTTGGCTGGAGCCGGGTGACCTGCCATCCTCAGTCTGTGGGGCCAGTGCCCTACTCACTGAGCCACAGGTGCTCCCCATATTATTGTTTTTTCACTGGCCAGTTTTGTTTTTGGGACAGTTGCAATCAAATAGAAGCAGAAAATTTTCATATTTATAGAGAATTTTATATCTTATAAAAGCATTTCCACAAATACAGTCTTATTTGGTTAAATAGTCAACAAATATTTATTCATATATTCAGTAGACTTTATTTAGCTCCTAAATAGGTGGGTATAATAACCATTTCAGATATTAGATATTTATATTGGGTACAGCCGTAAGAAAGATGTGGGTCTTACATTATCGTATGGGAGTTAGACAAAGAAGTAAATACATAAGCAGGATGGTTTCACTAAGAAATCCTTAGTGTGAAAAAAAATGAGTGACATGTAATAGAGAATGGTAGGAGGCCCACTCTACAGTAAGTAGTCAAGGAAGAGCTTTCTGAGGAGGTAAGTTGGGGCCTTGAAGGCCCAGGGCTTTGGATTTTATTCTGATGGTTATGGGAAGAAATTGAGGAGTTATAGGCAAGAGAGTGATATGCTCAGATTTATGCTTTGGAAAAATCCCCTTGGCTTCCGTATGGAGGATAGATTGTAAGAGCACAAGGATGGAAGCAGGGAAGCAGAAAGGACACTTTTGCAGTAGTCTAAACAAGAGATGCTGGTGGCTTGGATGAAGATGTTGAATTATTGGTTCAGGGATTTGGATTCCCTTAACAACTCTGCCATACAGAATATGGTTAACAGCACCAGGGAAGAGTCAGACTGTCTGGCTTGAAATCTAATGTGATAGCCATATGACCTTGGAAAAAGTATCTTAACTCCTCTGTGCCCCAAGTGTATCTTTACTAAAATGCGAATAATATGTTAATACTGCAGCTTTATCATCAGTCACCACCTTTGTCACAGCTACCATTCCCAAATCATCTTCAGCACCCCCAGTTTACAAGTAGAGGATGGTTTGCAAATCAGAATATAGGTTTCTTGATTTTGAATCCATTGTTCTTTCTGCAATGTAGTTTGTAGTGTGAGCTCCCAGGGACTGTGTATTGATCTGAATCTCGGTAGCTCTCAGCCCAGTTTTGTGCACCTGTGAATGTTTAACTAACATTGTGAAAATGATGAATAAGGCCAGCCGAATCAAAGTGTGTGGTAGAGAGGTAGCTTGTGCTGTGTCTCTTGCCACACACCAGAGCCACCAGACATT